CGACTGGGAGCCAGCAGCTGGTAAAGTTTGGGGCGTACTTTTGAGATATTCAATCTCCTTGAAGCGGGGAATGAGGGGTCATTCGACTCTCAGTTGAAGTCGTTTCCCCAGAGATGGGTTTTTATTTCGATATACTCGACGGTTTGTCGAGTTTACGACAATTTTGTTTTGAAGCCCTGTGGAAGGGCCTTTTTTGAACAGCTGCGGGCGCGTCCCGAGACGCGCCAATTATTGTTTAATTTTAAAAGTATTTTGTCAGTTTTAATTGTTCTCAACAAAAAAAATTCCGCACACGCGTGGAACCAAATTTAGTGTTTGGATACTTTTAAACCGGAAATTCACCTTGTCCTAAAAAATACTTTTGACGGTTAATTATTAAATTGGTTAAAAAGGTGACGCCAGTCAACCGGAGCTTAGCTGGATGTATGTCGTATAGTGTATCCGAATAACACGCTGACTTGTTTAAAAAAATATATATACTGTATAAGCTATCTTCGAACAAAATCAGTCTTTTTGTTAGAACAAGTCAACATGACTTCCGGTTCATGCATGTACGTTGTTTACTTCATTTATTCATCGTAGTACGCGTGTAAAAGGTGACCTTTAAGCTTCCTTTATTAGTTTACAGACAGACGTCACAGGCTGTACACATGTTATCGTGCGTCATGAAATACACGTAATAAATTTGCACGTGATGCGGATTTCTTGCTGCCAATATTTTCATGGAAAAAAAACCAAAAACGTATTTTTGCAGGAATAAATGTGCGCTGCGGCTTCCGAACCAAAATTCGTTTTTTTTAAATCTTCTTGTGAAAGTTCTGGAAAAAAAATTGAAGATTATTCAAGTGCATTTAATGACACCAATTTCTCAAGTTATCTTCATGAAAAGAAGCATTACGAGCCTATTGTAAAACGGATCTAACTTCTCAAATAAATCTAGTTTATTATTATGTTTGATCCCCTTCCTTTCTTTTATTATTTTCTATTTTGCATGCACTACAATAACCCAGATTTTTAGAAAAAGAAAACAAGTGTATATTCAAACGTGTAAAGAACGTAAAATGTCCACCACGGAACTTTAAGTTGGGATTGGACAACGGTTTGATCCCAGTTTAACGTTTCACCAACTTAACGGTCTGTGACTTTAAATTTTTATAGTCAACAAAAATGCAAAAAAGTGGCCAAAGCAGGTTGAATTGCACAGCAAGGTTCAAATTAAAAATCAATCTCCCTGCAAATTTGATCATTGAATTACAGGATGGTCAAATTGTGGGAGGTCAAATTGCGAGGTACCACATGTATACTGTACCTTGTTTAAATTCGGAAAATATTGTAATTAAAAATTGGGCAGCAGTGTGGGGATTAATGCAAAATTTTGTGCCACAAGCCGTTCGAGAAACGAAAAATCAGGGATGATCAGGACTCAGGAGAGACGAAGTCTAGAAAAATCCAATTTTTTTCAGCAGAAAATTTATCTAAACTTTGGATGCTGCGTGGTATTTCTTTCAAATTCCTTTCATGGGAGTAGCATTGAGGGATTCCAGACACAAGTGGATTACCGTATCCCCAGATTTTTACATACTTGGGATACACTTAGCCAAATCTTAATTTTTGTGGCATTCAGTCAAACCAAATCACACAAGCATGCAAGTACAAGGGTCTAACGATTTTCTACCTTATATTGGGTGACGGTATATTCCAAAATAACAAGTGATTAAGGACCTTGATGTCATGTCCACCATGGAACGTTAAGTTGTAGGATGTTAAACTGGTAGGAACGATTTGATGGTCAAATTTGCTGAGAGGTCCACTTGCAATTCAACCTAGGACCCTCAATTCAACCCACAGAGCTTCGTAAAAATTTCAAGTACAATGTAGAAAAGATATCATTAGATGTTGCTTTGCTATTTGACTGCTTTGCATATTTGACCCCAGTCCAGCAACAGATTAGGGTCCAATTGTGGGGCACCACCTGTATTCCTAGATTTTTGAAGGCAGCTGAGGAGAACAGCAGAGGTGGAAAATCATGTGAAAGAACATCAGTTGCAAAATGTTCATCTCTCCGTAATTCAAGTTTATCAAACGAATTCATCCCTCAAGTGATGCTATATATCAACAATCTTTTGATCGCCGACAAACACGAGTATATATCATTTTTTATATATTTCTTCTTTCAAATTGAAATAAACTCCTTTCGTTCAACCTTATTTTTCTTTATTTTCCGCAGGTTCATGCGTTGAGGAAGAAGCGAGTCCAGTGAAAATTCAGGTAACGACTCCGCTGCTGAAACCCGAAAGCAAAGACGGAAAGGCCGCAATTTGAGATCTCATTTCCCTGGTTTCACTCGCACGCAATGCACCACATTGGACTACAGTTTCTTTTTTGGGACAACAATGGTTTCCTTTTGAATTGCTAGGCTGTACAAGCTTGATTCACGCATTCCGCCTATGCGAAAAGAAAATAAGGGAAAGTGAGAGAGAGAAAGAGAGAGAGAGAGAGATGTCTGCTTTTAAATTTTAAATTTTACGTACCGTGCTTCTCTTGAACTAAAACCTGTACTGCATATACTGAAAAAAATTGGCCCATTCATATTTTGCGAAATTACTGTTTTGGATGTAAGCTGTATATGCGTGCCCGCAGGAAAAAGACGAGCATGAAGCATGAACTTTGCTTCTCAGTAAAATCATTGATGATCTTCTGAAGGTCTTTCGAGTTTTGAATTTTCTTCGAATATCTTCTTCTAAGAAAAAAAAATTTCCAGGCACTGTTCTTTGAAATAACGTGGAACAATCCCCTTCAATCTCTAGATGCTCAGATTTTTCCAGTTCCTCCCCATAGTATTTTTTCCCGCAATTTTCATCGCATCTGAAAATCTAAATTCTTTAGTCTCCTCTGAATGATTCAGAGTCTCCCCGAAAAAAATATTACAATGCTGGTTTTATTTTTGGGTAAACACGGTACGATCAGTGCTGCGATTTTTGTAAAACGCTTGCGGAAAAAGAGTCAAATGGAAAGAACAGAATGGTCCCACAAAAGAAACTGTACCCGCATTTTGATTTTGCGTGTCTCCTCGGGAGAAGTGCAAGAACGGGGCTGTCGGTCTTTTTTTTCTTGAATAGCCCATTTCATTGATTCTCGACAAGAAATGGATTCTCATTTCCCTGGTTTCACTCGCACGCAATGCACCACATTGGACTACAGTTTCTTTTTTGGGACAACAATGGTTTCCTTTTGAATTGCTAGGCTGTACAAGCTTGATTCACGCATTCCGCCTATGCGAAAAGAAAATAAGGGAAAGTGAGAGAGAGAAAGAGAGAGAGAGAGATGTCTGCTTTTAAATTTTAAATTTTACGTACCGTGCTTCTCTTGAACTAAAACCTGTACTGCATATACTGAAAAAAATTGGCCCATTCATATTTTGAGAAATTAATGTTTTGGATGTAAGCCGTATGCGTGCCCGCAGGAAAAAGACGAACATGAAGCATGAACTTTGCTTCTCAGTAAAATCATTGATGACTTTCTTGCAGATCTTTCGGGTTTTAAATTTTCTTCGAATACCTTTGTCTAAAAAATAAATTCCAGGCACTGTTCTTTGAAATTACGTGGAACAACCCCTTCAATCTCTAGATACTCAGTTTTTCCAGTTCCTCCCCATAGTATTTTTTTCCCGCAATTTTCATCGCATCTGAAAATCTAAATCCTTTAGTCCCCTCTGAATGATTCAGAGTCTCCCCAAAAAATATTACATTGCTGGTTTTATTTTTGGGTAAACACGGTACGATCAGTGCTGCGATTTTTGTAAAACGCTTGCGGAAAAAGAGTCAAATTGAAAGAACAGAAGGGTCCCACAAAAGAAACTGTACCCGCATTTTGATTTTGCGTGTCTCCTCGGGAGAAGTGCAAGAACGGGGCTGTCGGTCTTTTTTTTCTTGAATAGCCCATTTCATTGATTCTCGACAAGAAATGGATGACTATGATGATGACGGACTCTCGAGGGCTAATGCATAATGATGATATATTTTGATCGCTATCTACGTGTTCTGCGCTGATGTGCTCCAGAGAAAAACGAAAGGAGGAGGCGAAAAAAAAAGAAAGAAAGTGGAAAAAAAAGTTTGTGGTATGGGGAAGGAAAAAACCGCTGAGTTATATTTGATGGGAAAAATACACGGGATGAGAAACCTTGGGCTTAACCTACACGCGTCCATTTCTTCATATATGAAACCTTTTTGTCAAAGCCGGAAACTATCTGAAATGAGCCTGGAATTTTCCCCACATATGCCTCGAGCAATTTCTGAAAGTACGAGCATTACACACTCTATTGCGTTGGAAGCATCTCTTGAAAATTGACCTCGTATATTTCATTTTGACTTGAAGTAACGTTTTGCGTGTCATTAACCCTTGTGCGCCAAAAGTGGGATATTTTCGCAAACTTTTATCCCACAAGGGCAGGAATTAGAAAAATATATGATTTTTGAACCAAAGCCTAAGCCAGGAAAAAGGCTGATTTTTTTTCATAATACTGCAGAAAATTCCGGATCTAAAATTTTAAAAATGCATCGCTGGGTGAGCTTTTTTCATGCAAAGCCAGGGTAGGATTAACTTCGGGGATTTCTTGAGACAACAGGATTTTCTGCACCAAGATTTTTTTTTTTTTTTTTTTTTACCTAGGCCTTGGCAACCTGGTAACTCTGAAAAAATCCCAACTTTGCCGCGACAGTCAGGAACCCTCTGCTGTCCAAGGATTTCAAACTTCCCGAAAATATTGCACTGTTAGAAGCTGAAGAAAATCGGTAATTGCATTTAATTAATGTGAAAAACTCCACCAGGAAAGACTTTTATCGAATTCATTTTCAATGATTCCGAAAAACCGACTGACTCAATAAGATTTTTGAAAATTTGGTAAGTTTTTCAAAATGATTTATTTCATTAAACATGGCGCGTCATGAATTCTTATCGAAATTCGCGCCTCTGACTGATTTCGATAAAATTTCTCTCCCGGAAATGGGGTCGCCGACTCGTCAATAAATTCAATTGCCAAATTTATTCATCTTCTAACCAACGATAATTGATATTTTCGGGCATCTTTTGTGCAGTGTATATGAAATGCAACACCACTGAAATCGTGGTCCAAGTACTGTATATTTTTTAATTAAAACACCAAGAAAAATCTATCAAGCTTTTCCAGCCCAGATCTTGTGTTTGAAAAAAATACGAAGCAAAGGCCTATTCTTCACATGCTCTCCTCGTCAAATTAAATGCAATCGAGCCATAGAATATGATTTTCTGTGTGATGGCCATACACCTTTTATTCGACGATAACCTGATCACGACTGTGCAATTGATGTGCATTAGAGGCGGTAGCGACATCTGCACACGCCCAGAGAAAATGAAGTCCGCACGCCTGCTGACATGAATAAGTGACAATTTTTTTTCGCTTCACACTTACAAGAGGTAGTAACGATCCATTATAATTGCTTTCACAAATATGATAATATATAGCGCTTATTTCATTTGCCCACAGCAGGATGATATATGTATGAGTTATTCAAAATTATTCAACACCAATAAAGCAGCATATAAAAGCATGTGATCTGCCACGATGACGAGAATTCATATACTTGCTTGTGGAATCACAGTCGAAATAAGTATATTCAGGTGACGCTCATTAGCAGTTAACATTTAATCAATAATCTTCGTCAAGGTGATCAATTCATCGTTCCAAACTCTGTGTTGTTTGCTGATCATCGCGGTTTTTCGATTGGCGAACACTGAAACGTCCTCAACCGAATACATGACGACGACTGAAGAATCCGAAGTCAAACCGTGGACAAAAGAAAATGCAGAAAAAGACGGTCATTCGGACGTTTCTACAGCTGAAGCCACAATATTTTCGGTGAGCACTTCTAAAATTTTTGGGGTTTTTTTTTTTTAGAAAATTTGAATCCGTACACAAAATTTAATCTTGAGCACCAGCAAAATATGCGCCGTACACGTAACAAAATAACATTCCTAAATGAATGAATTAAACGATCCTCGCCAGCTTCAACAAATAATGAAATACAATACTAGCGAATGCAAGTTAATACACACAGGTATTGAATGTTGGAAAATTGTGTCTGATTTTAAATCTGGTTTCACAGATAGAGATGTTGCCAATCTGGGAACCGAATTACCCCGGGTGCTTTGTTTTTTGTAAAGACGACCTTGGCTGTCCAAGGTATGATTGTCAAAAGTGTTGCTTGATGCCTGACACACCCGAGAATACCACGGCCATCCGGCGTTGCAGACCAAGGGACTCACCTTGCTTGCCTGAGCCGTAACCCTGCTGACGACTGAAGACCTTTTTTTTTTTTTTTCAATCATATGGATACAAGCAAAATCCCTGTATTTACTGAAGTACCACATGAGCATTTGTTTCATAACAATTTGCGGAGACAGAATTAAGTGCACATCATGAAAGAAATTCTGTTCAAGAAAGGTTTTGGTTCTGTTGGGGTTTTCTCCAAAAAGAGATTTTATGAGTAAAACACCACAATCAGCTTGGGACTGGCTGGGAGCCTCTTTATAAGAGGCTCCAAAAAACTGATATTTAATAATGTTTCAAGAGTATCAACAACTCAGCATAATCTTCCAGAGAAATACACACGCACAATAATCCACACAGTTTCTAAGATAATTGGTTGGATTTTTGGCAGTGGAAGCTAAGAATGGGAATGAGATATTCAGTGCAGGTTTTCAACAGTTTTATAGATTTCTTTGATGTGGTTAAAAGATTACTTTTTGAGCAAGTAGACTTTAATTCCATTTTTCTGGTTGGATAAAAGGGGAGACTCAAAGACAATGACGCCCATAGTTGCACAAGTTTCCAAGGATTTTTGGGGGCAAGTTCTTGGGTGTGAGGATCTAGGACCAAAGCACCCATTCTTGGGATCAGGGTGTTTTATTAATACTGTATAACATTTAACTTTTGGGCAGCAGAGGGTTATTTTTCAGTGCACAGCAGAGTTTCAATTTTCTGGGAGGTGGCGCATTTAAGTTTTACCCAAGGTCACTGAAATGCACCCAGGTTGAGAAGGCCTGAGTTGGAAAAATCTAGGAGGCGAATTTTCTATTGTTTTCGGGATTTTCCCATGCAAACCCTATGCCAGGAATGTAGGAGAAAAAGCCACCCATTAAGGGATTTTTTTTCATTTAACATTTTCTGCAGGATTAGAAAAAAATGTTTGATTTTTTCCGGACTTAGGCCTTAGTAAAATATGGGGTTTTTATTTCACAAAATTAAAATTCCCGACTTTGCTGCACAAGGGTTAATTAGGAATGTGCACCACAGACCCCAGCAGGTTTGAAAAATCAACTTCTTCAGAATTAAACTTTTTAGCCACTGAAGCCTTAAATAAAATGAGGAATAGCAAATAAAAAGCAATGAAACAGGTAATTCGACACAAAAATCACATATTCTATTCATTCATATGAAGTTTTTCTTATTTTATTACGTACTAATAGAATAAGTTCATCATGGCCAAAAATTGATATTATCAGGAAGCAATTAAATTGTTTCTTAAATATTGAAATTGCTGTTATCCTTTGAAACCTCTGGAAAGCGCATCATAGAATGCGATAAATTTTTTTCTCATACAGACCGAAACTTATACCGAAACTTTAGTGTGTGTGTGTCTTATTTATTATATGCGGGCAAGTGGTACGTTCGTAAATACAGTTATATGCAAAGAAGGAAAATTGACTCCAGATTACTTACTAATCTCCAAAGCACGTATTTCCTCGTTGAGATTTTCACAATCGCGAATACATGAAATTTTCAAAAGGGAAAGAGGAAAACGGAATTTTTCCTGGAAATATTGAACATGTGAATAAAACATATATGACAAAAACAGCGTTTTGACTCTTGAATAATTCGCAACCCGCATCTGATTTCCATCTCTAGCAATTGTAAAATGCGCAGGAAAAAAAAGGCTTCACAATGTGTTTGGAAAAAAAAAATCTGCTCAATATTCTGCTGTATGTTTTCAAAGCCATATTCTCTGTCACTTTCGTCGAGAAGTTTTCACTTTTGCTGGATATTTATGAAGAAAGTGGGACCCAAAATCTGTCGGTTATTGAGCATTTTCGAAAGCATATTCCATGAAGTCATTTTCACAATTATTTAAGCGAAAGAAATAGTTTCTCCATCGAAACTCTAAAATTATGTTTCAAGCAGAAAAAGATTGATATTTGAAAAAAAATGAAAAATTGCGACCATTTGTGACCATTTATCTATTGTTGTCCAACGCAACTATCTATTTTGTCACAACTGATCCTGCAGAAAATTATGCGAATTTTCTGTAAAATAATCGGTGAAGATGAAAATAAGAATACCTTGATGATTATTTAAAAAAAAATGCTTCAATGCAACCGTCCTATGTTGTAAATATTTGTTCATAAAAAATTCCTTTTTTTTTCAAACCATCGATATTCCTGCCGGACTCCGAAGAAAGTAAGTCGACTGGGTTCAACTCAAGTTACGTGCCATAAATTCGCCTATTTTTCGATTATCGACAATCTGTTTAATTCTTCTTGTACACTGATAATCTTCCTGTCTACTGTGTTTGTGAGTTTCTGTCAACTGATTTCTATCATGAGGCACCCAATACACTTTCTCTGATGATGAGGTCGATAAGAATTGAAACGTCTCGTAATTTTTTAACACTGCTTTTCAACGCTCAACAATTATTTTCTTAAACTTCCGTCGAATTTCTTGTCATTCTTATTATTTTGCAGGTTCATCCCGACACATTTTTTTGGTTATGATGGGTGCAAATGGGCAATCCATAATCTCTCTTATTCGTATTTCAAACAGGAATATCTACACCATTTTTCACTGTTATACCATCCAGGAACATTACGGTTGATGGTCAACTCACGAAATGATTGACTTTACTAAACTATTATATATACAAAATCCTCGCAGAAATTTATGCTGCATCAAAGACTGCTTTTTCAGCTCTCAAAAGTCAATTACCACTAAAATACATCTTCTAACCAAAGATAATTGATCGTTTCGGGCATACTGTATTTTTCCCTGGATGGAAATCACATTCATGATACCGCTGTAACCGTGGCCAAATTGTTCATGATTGAAACACGTACCAAGAAAAATATTCCTTCTTCAAGCTTTTTCCAGTAAAGACGCTGAATTTGAGAGAAAAACGATACACAGCAAAGGTATGTTTTTCCACATGGTTTCCTCGTTTACAAAAATTCAATTGAACCATAAAATCTGATTAAAAGAATGAAATATTTTATTATGAAGCTTATCGCGAGTCCAGATATGCTAAGTTAAAAAAAACGAAACAAAGCTTTATAGTTTGCCACGTGCTTTCCTTGTCTAAAAAAGTGCAAGAGAGCCAAGAAATCTGATTTTATGAGGAACTGATGATGTCCATATAACTTTTATTCCGAAATTATTACTGTAACATGATCAGGACTGTGAAACTTATACGCCATAGAGGTGGAGGCGACATCTGCACACGCCCACAAAAAATCAAGTGCGCAGTTGCCGACGCGTGTAGGTGACAAGTTCTTCTCTTTTCACAGGCAGCACCGATCCATTATAATTGCCTTCTAAAATATGATAGTTCCAAAGATGATTACTTTATTTTATTCGCCCACAATAGGGTGATATGTATGCGTTTTTCATCATTAATGAACATTAATTAGAACATAAAAAGCCTGCGACGCCACCAGATATGACAAGAATACTCATAATTGCTTGTGAGAATCAGAGTCGAAATAAGTTGCTTCAGGTGACGCTCATTCGCAGTCGACATTCAATCGATAATCTTCGTCACGATGATCAATTTATCGTTCCAAACTTTGTGCTGTTTGCTAATCATCGCGGTTTTTCGATTGGCAAACACTGAAACGTCCACGAGCGGATACATGATGACTGAAGTATCCGAAGTCGAACCGTGGTCAATTCCATATAAAGACGATGATTCGGACTTTTCCACGACTGAAGCTTCAACATCTTCAGTGAGCACTTCTATATTTCGATTTTTTTTTTCAAAAATTTGAATCTATACAAGATCTCATCTTGATCACCAGCCATATATGCGCCGTACAAGTAAAAACAATAACGTTCTCAATAAATTAATTAATGATCCCTGCCATCAACAAATAATGAAAGGAGAGACTAGCAAATAAAATTTTAGAAGTTTTTCAGGACAGAAAACTTGCCAACAAAAGAATCTTGCTGATTTGTCTCAAAGCAAAACAAAAAAAAATGTGTGAAAACAGTTTTGCACTAGAGAAATGCCTCAGCTTCAAATTCAATTCATTTCGTTGCTTATAGAAAACCAATGAAACATTTTAATAACTGCGCTGGAAATATATATAAAGCAGCTTATTTATACAATCGGTAAAGGTATAATACTGTACTTAAATTTAGACAAGTGGAATGTGTGAATTTGGTTCAAATTTCTTTGTATATCTGTTCCTTCTTTTTATTGTGGCTTCAACGGTGGAAAAAAAATAGCTCTGAAGTTTACTTTTTGCACCAAAATTCACTTTTTGAAAAAAAATTTTCAAAATGATGTGCACCCAATTATTTCTCCTCATGCGGTACTTGAGTAAATGAATTGATGTTGCTCATTTTTCTATGGGTTTGAAACACAGTTCATTCCATCCAGTACGGTTTCGGCCGATGGATGCACGACCTGGTGGGTCGTCTGCAATACCCGATTGGCATGGTTCCCTTTCCCGAGTAACGGCGCCTGAGGCAACATGCATTACACCCAAGATGGAGGGGGCAGTCATCCTTGCTTTGACAGGCCGTGTTGCACCTTGGGTTCCTGGGTGCCAACCGTTTCACCAGTTTCTGTGGAACCAGATGTAAAATCAGACGCAGTTTTTCCAACATTATTTGAGCAAAACTTGTAGTACAGAATCATACATTATTCTGAATAGATAATTGATGACCCAAACCAACTGATAGAATTTGCAAAAATAAAAAGGCAAAATGTTGACATTTTTTTCGCTTCTAGAATTTCTTTCCCAAATTGAAATGCTAAAGTTGATGATGAATTTATGAAAAAAGGTTTTCGTTTGACAAAAGCTCCATTTTTATTTCGAATAAGGTTGCTAATATGAAAGCTCTTAATCACGAAGACTTTATAACACATGACTTTTATATGAGTTAATTGGCAGCACAAAATGGGAGAACGTAATAACTCCAAGATAATATGACACGTAATTCTGTGAAGTTTTTACTCAAATTAATTCATTCGCCTTTATTAAAAACTTTAAATAGTCTCTATCCACCCTATAACTGTAATTATTTCTTCGGACTTTCCTTTTTTTCGATTTTAAACAGAAAAATCCTTGTTTGGAAATTGCTGTATATTTCCAAACATGAAAAATTTTATAAAGCAACTGCACGAAATCGGTTACTTTATTTGATTCAAATGTGGTCTACACAAAGAAAATCACGTTGTGACAAAAGCGTGTAAAAAAGAAAACAAAATTCTTGCTAGCTGTTGATCGTTTTTAGTACCAAGTTTTTTGTGGGATGAATAATTTCTAAACTTTCATTCGCAAGTTTTTCCTTACATTTGTTGATACCAGAAATCATCAATTCATTAACTCTCAAGTATTTTAACATCTGTTGCGCTTATTGCTGGTCATCGGCATGAGATTGCAATTCAAATATATATAAAATTACAAGTGCTCACCAAAAATTGTGCGGCTTCAGTCGTTGTAACGTTCAAATGATCGCCTCCTTCTGTATTTTCTTTCGGAGATGGCGACATTTCGACTTCGAATCGTTCAGTCATGTTTTGGCTGATGGACGTTTCAGTGTTTGCCAATCGGAAAAATGTGATGATCAGCAAACAAAACAAAGTTTGAAATGATAAATTGATCATCGTGATAAAGGATTTTAGAATAAGTGTTGCTTGCGGATACGCGATAGTTGGAAAAAATTATTACAGCTGTGATTCCACGAGCAAATGAACTTCTATCATCGGGATCGTCCCATGCTTTTATGCTGCTTGTTGTTGAAATGCCATGAATAATTCTTATACATATCATATCCTATTGTGGGGGAATAAAAATAAATGATTTCTCTTTGGAACAATTGTCTTTTAGAGGGCAATGAATGGAACGATCCGGCCTATTGTGCGTGAGAACTATGAAGAGAAAAACTTGCCACTCACACACGCATCAGCAGATGCGCAATTTGTTTTTCTGGGCGTGCGCAGATGTCGCCTCCGTCTCTATTGCGTACATATTCCACAGCCCTGATCAGGCTATTGATTGCGGAATATAAGTGAGATGATCATCATCAGTTCCTCACAAAATCATATTTTATGGCTCACTTGCACTTTTGTAGACGAAAAAAGCCTGTGGAAAAATATATAGCTTTGTTTCGTATTTTTGCGAAACATACCGCATATCTGGACTCGAAAGGCCTCATAGAATATTCTTCTTGGTTTTGAAATCATGGAATACAGTAATTCCGGAGGAAAAAAATAGCTCTGAAAACTTTTATTTCTCGCTCCCAAATCCTTTTTTTTTTTTTGTGGACAGAACAGGTTAATTGATTTGCACTCAATCCCTTCTCCGCAATGTTTGTGAATCAAATGTGCACCTGGTACTTGAGTGAATGCATTACTGTTGCTTATTTTTCCATGGGTTTGAAATAAAGTTTCTTATCCCTTGTGCGGCAAATCAGATTCAAATTTTAATGAAACTTCCTTGTCGTGTCTGTCAATTGCTACCACAAGGAAACATGTGAACTCTGTTGGATTATCCGTGGAAAATTTGGAGACTCGTGAATACAAAAATATATGACAAAAACAGCGTCTTGAATCATTTATTTTCAACCCGCATCTGATTTTTTTTATCATCTGTCGATTGTTGAATACACAGGAGAGAAAAGGTGTTGAAATTTTGTTTGGCTGAAAAAATCCATGCAGTATTCTGCGTGAATTTCGCAAAGCAATTTTTTCTGCTTTTTTTATTCAAAAAGTTTCTCTAAGATTATGTTTTTGCAAAAGAAAATGATTGAAGTCTGGATTAAAGAAAAAAACAAAGAAAATACTTTTGTTCGGCGACTAATAATCAATTTTTTCCAAGGTCAACTTGAGTTTTTGTTAGAACTGAGTCTACGGGAAATTATCAGAATTTTCTGGAAAATAATTGGTGGCAATGAAAGGGTATTGATAAAAATCCTTTGATTATTACTAAAAGTTCTTTCAATTCAACCTTCCCATATAAAAAAACACCCAAAAAAATTGCGAAATTCGCTCTCCGAGACCACATTTCTGCTGGACTCACGAAAAATTAAGCTGACAAAGTTCAACCCAAGATACGTCCCATAAATATACTACCATTTTCTCAAATTATAAAAGATGTTTCATTTTTCATTGAAAATAGTAATCTTCCTGTCTGTCTTCATGATTTTCTGTTAAGCACACCCCATCACATAACTCGTGTGCATAGAGGCAAGAAAAATTTCCTGGTGAGGTCAAGAGTTGAGATGACTGGCCATTCTTATTTACTCAAAGCTCGATAATTTTCGTTTCTTTAACTTTGGCCCAATNCACACCCCATCACATAACTCGTGTGCATAGAGGCAAGAAAAATTTCCTGGTGAGGTCAAGAGTTGAGATGACTGGCCATTCTTATTTACTCAAAGCTCGATAATTTTCGTTTCTTTAACTTTGGCCCAATTTCTTCAAATCCTTTTTTTGCAGGTCTCACGCGCTAGAAATATGCGGTAATGTTGGTTGCAAATGAACAGTCCATAAGCTCTCTTGTCTGATGTATGCTAAACTGAAATATCTATACACATTTTCAAAGTGATACGAGGATCATCAAGGATAAAACATAGGACGAAAAAATTTGAAAATGTATTGCGGTGAACAGAGGCTCCAGGGGGAACAAAGAAGTTTCTTTTACAACAATCGTGTGAATTTTGAAACTTTACCCAAGAAGCTTGCAGTTAGAGACGTATGACGACCATCAGGTATATTTTGAGTGGAAAAAATGTCAACTATGTGGAGAATTTGAATCGAATAGAGTATTTAAATGAAATAGAGCATCTCTGTTCTCACGAAGATGTACAAGAACACGTTTTTGGAGAAATGCCTATTCTTGTTCTCTAGAATTATGCGTGACAAATTAGAGTTTCGCCATTTTAATTCGTGACAAACTACACATCAGACTCTATCAAAAATTCCGAAGGCCAGCATATTTCTGATTCCTGGTAATTCCTTTTGGCAACACTCAAAAACTTGCGTAAAATAGTTCGTGAAGCGAACTTATTCATTCCCTAAAACCTGGACCCATCCAAAAATAACCCCAAAAATAACATATTTTAATAAAAAAACAATGCAGATTTCGACAACACGAACATAAGAAAACCAGAGTGACTTACATGAAGGCATATAACAAAGGAAATAATAAAGCGTTTATTAATTTTTTTAATTCTGAGAATCCTGAATCATGCATAAAAAAAAGAATCACGTTCATCACCTGCACATTCAGAACGCCTGACCTTGGTTCAATCTTTTATTGCGTGGTACAGACAAAAATGGAATCAAAAGAGCAAGAAACACTCAACAATAATCCTGAAATAATTGTAGAAAAAAATAAAATAAGTGCATGTGCATTCATGATAATTCAAAAGGGGCTACGTGAGAGCTTTTAACACCCACGTGTGAGAATTGCACTCTTCCAAAATAATTTCCCCCCTTGGGTCACACATTCATCGACAGCACTTAGTCAAGAACTTTCAACTCAGAAATAATCATCAGGATGAAAAAATCATCACTTTTGTGTTGTTTTATGCTGGCAACGTTTGTTCACCTAATTCAGAATTCTGAAGCATTTATAAGCCAAAACAGGACTGATAAATACGAAATTGAAATATTGCCACAGGAAGTGGAAGAAGAAGAAGGCGATGATTGGAATTACACTCCATTTGACGCCTCGTCATTCTTGGTACGTTTCTGGTTGAGCCTCATATTTTGCACAAACAAAAATTACTCCTTTTAATCGAGTCCTTATACATTCTCGAAATGTTCTGTGTCATTTCAATTAGATGCCATTAATCATTGAAGATTGTGTTGAACCATCCTGCTGTTGATTTCACGGAACGTATTTTACGAAGGTATAATTCGCATAATCTTCAAGATTATGTGAATGGAAAAATCGGGACATTATAATAATAACTTCAAGGCAAATGAAATAAACAAAGCCCTTCGGAAGAACAGTTTCCATTCGGAAGAAAATAATTTATCCACGGTATTTAAACATAATGTCGTTTTCAAAGATCCCGATTGGAAATTCAATTTTTTTTAAATACATGAGCATCAAGAGTGCTCTATTCCATTTTTACTTGAAAAAGGAATACAGTATTTCAATACAAGTACAAGTTCAAGCTAGAATAGGAAATACTTTTAAGAACGTGATAGAAAATAGGTTGACTTTATTCAACTCAACTTCGAAGTATCATAATTATCTAGAGTCATTAAGATACTCGAAAAAGAACATACGCAGCATTACCCTAATTTACAGGGTAGAAGTTCATCTAATTGAGATTTATATTTTTAGGAAAACACCTCTAAAACTTTTTTAATAAATGCATTGGTTTCAGATTTCAATGCAAAAGCTCGGTTCTGAATTATTCGTAGAAACCTTGACCATTTTTTGTAAAAAAAAAAAAGAAAAAGAAGGGAAACTTTCAGACGGCATCAAATTCTGCAGTGAATTCTCAAAATCAGGTGGAAATCGCAGTTTCAGAAATCACACTGAAAGTTTCGTTTTAGTTTACAAAAAAATTGGTCGAGGTTTGTACGAATATTTCAGAACTGAGCTTTTGCAGTGAAAACTGAAAATAAATGAGCGAGCGTGAAATTTCCACCTGATGCTCGCTCGTTTATTTTCCCTGGAACATTCAATATTTCTGTCGTGAAAATGTTGTTGAATTTGTTTTTATTTTTTGCTTGATATGAAATCTGATTTTACAGACTTTAGTGAAGCGGTCTCCGAACGCCAGAAAATGCGGCTCCAGTTGCATGTCAAACAGGGATTGTCCCATGTTTCGTCGGTGTCGATCCTGTTGCATTCGGCAGAGAAACAAATCCAGGCCGCCACCAAGTGTTGGCATTTGCACTACAATTTTCAGAGGATGCATAAAACCGCCTCGTCGTTGAAGGATTCATTTCCACCGATAAGAATAAATATCGTGACGTGTGTATTTAGAGACAAAGTCATCGATTCCAAAAACTATCCGATTATGAACAGCACATTTTGTTTCCGGACAAATCGACTCCAGCTGAAGATCACGTTAGTCATCTGGGCAAGTTCATCACTGGAAGTTCTTACAGGAAAAGGAAGCATTGCACCAAGGAAGGACAGAAAAAAAAACGTTGGAAATTTTACCAACAAAACATTGCTGGAAGTTGTGTGTGAAATTTCTTAATCAAAACCGCAATCTCGGAATATACGGTATTGTCAAAATAAAAAAAGAAGATTCGATTTTCTGCATTCATATTGGTATTCACATTCAATGTACAGGGTGGACCAGAAACTAAGAATTGATTTTAAACTCATTCAATCTGATCCATTTCACCTTTGAAGTATCAACAAATTGAAGCCTATCCATCTTCTTTTGATTAGCGTCATATTTTGGTTTTTAGTGCATTAGCATCATGAGCAAAATGGATACAAATATTAAATTTCAGGAAAGTCAAGACGGAAAAAAAAATCCGAATTCCCTTAGTTGTGTTCCCACGAGATAAAATAAAATTGTTCTCTAATTGTAAGACGTTTTTATCATACATCTCCACAAAACTCTGATAGACAATTTCAAATCCAGTTTATTTTTCTGCTGCAACGAAATACAAGAAAATATGAGTTAAGAAAAATATTTAGTTGAAGAATGCTGAAATGCGGGAAGTATTTTTTTCTCAACCACGTCAATTTCTTGGCATGCGTCATAGAATTCTAACATTTCTTGAAATTATTTTCTTCATCTGGCCAAAACTCTTTTAATCCAATACACGCTCAAATGGTGTAACCTTACGTCTTGGTAAGTTAGTGTAATTTAGTTCATTAAAAATTGGAGAGGAGTCATGCGACATCTAGATAACAGTGTAAAAATCATTGAAAAAATACACGGACCTCTGGAGGATTCCAATCCATTTGTAAATTATTTGCATAAGCCAGAAACAGAACTGAAACGAAGTTCCATACTGTCCTGTTTCAAGTAGCGACTTTAAACGTTCAAAAGTTGAAAAACGTCAACTTTTAGACTTTTATGCCTGATACTAGAAGGCCAATGATTCCTTAAAATAAACGTACTTTTTAACCTATAAAAATACGGGTTTGTTGATGGTTTTGCAATGGACTGCGTTTTATTGAGCTAACAATTCAAAAGCTAAAATTTAAAGTAAATGTCATACAATTGAAAGGACAGTTTTAGGTGACTGAATCACAACACTTCTGTCAGAGCTCTCAATTACGGATTGCTCTGCCCTTTTTCCGGTTACTGTCAAAATTGAAGAAATGCTGGAAGAAAGAAGATTCATGCAAGACTCTTTGTGCTAAAAAAAAAGCAGGATTCATTCAAATAGAATTTTGAAGAGCTCGTCAAGAAGGAAACATAAACTTGAACAGAGATTTCCGTGAGAAAAAATACGTGTTCAGGAAAGTTTGACCTATACTGTGAATTCAATCAATGTAAAAGTGACATGCCTCCATATAGCAGTATTGTACTTTATCTAGCAAACAAAAATGTCTTCTCTTTCCTCTGTATAGAAGCCAATTCAAAAGATAAATGCGTATGTTTATTAGCAAAAAAAAAAGTTCATCTGCAGAAAGCGCGTCAAAAGAAAAGAAAAAAGAACATCATTCATGACATTTACTCTGTTGTGGATAACAAAATACACACGTGAACCCTTTCAACAATTCGTGGAAATGAAAACAAAGAAAAACTATACACTATTCCTGATCCTTTCACACGAAAGCCTCAGCACAAAAGTATTTTTGACACCCCGATGAGAATTGCCTGCAAATATTCTGGAATCCCCTTAGTTTCCTTCGATAAGCTCGTGCTCATCAAACTCAGTTTGTTGGGAATAATCATATAGGAAGCATCATCACAATAATGAAAGCCACTCGCCAAATGTTGTGTTGTTTGCTACTTGTCACGATTGTGCACTTGGCAACTGCTGAATTATCATTCATCAGCCAAAACATGACTGACACATTCGAAGCCGAAGCTTCGCCACTTCCGGGGTACGAAGAAGAGGAAGGAAGTGATGATTCGAATCTATTGTCATCCGATGCCTCACCATTTTTGGTATGTTATTCAAGAATATTATTTTTTTCGAAGCATTCAATTGTCCATCACACTTCCTTCTCAATCGCCGGAAGCTGTGATTTGATTTAAAAAATGGACGAATAATCACACAAATTTTCAGAACACACAAGTAGGAGCCGATATCAATCTTTAAAGTTATTCAAAATGTAAAATTGACACCAAAAATACAACTTCAGTTCGTCTGGAACCAAAACCCACCAAAAAGCTCTTATATTCGCAATGATCATTCCTCAATTGTCTCTTCAATCATAGTATGACTTCTCATGGCGCGAAAAATTCGTATAAATTATATAATTTCGCACTAAGCATGTAAAATAGGCTCAGAAAGACTAAAAAAAATTGGGTTTCGGTTTTTGTTCTGGTTTACATCATGCGGAAGCATTTGAATTAAATACGGACCCATAATTGAATCAAATGAGCTGGTTTGAATTTGAAAATGTATTCTTTTCATTCAGTTAACAAATTCAACCAAGTTCTGAACCTGAGAAATCTTTTGGAATTGGTTGAGGAGCTAACAAAATCTAAACTATTCTAAACCTTTGAATCTGGGATGAATTACTGGACACAGGAAAAGAAATCGTTCTCCATTTATAGATTTTTCAGAAAATTGTACATTCTAGTTACCATTCACATATTTGAAAATAACTTCTTATATCACAGCAGGGGGAGATTATATCAGATCATCATTATCTACCCCAGGTATTTGCTCTCAGTTGAGCCTTGAATTCCATAGTGTTTTTTCTTGTCCATTTTGCTGCAACTTAAAATAAGAAAGAACATATTTTGAATAATTTGACACATTTTTCACCACAGAGACTTGTGAAAAGGTCGCCTCAAAGGAACACCAGATGTGGCAGTAGCTGTTTGTCGGACGCCAATTGCCCAACCAATCGCAGGTGCAAAACCTGTTGCATTTGGCATCGATACAAACGAGGGCCTAGGCCGAGAACTGGTGTTTGCATGACGTATTACCAAGGATGTCAAAGACCGCCTAGTGGATAGGGACGCCATTCTCATTAATTACAAACACGATATGTATCAAAAAATCCATCAGCCATAGTGAGTTCGAGATCCATGTTCCAGTTACTCGTCTTTCAAGATTACAAGGACGGATTTGCATGAGAACGCAAATGGGAAGTCATCAGGAATTGCCCCCTGGAAAATTCGGAGCGTAGTGACAATAAAAATCATTTCTGGATCCATGGTCTTTGAAAACTCAAAAATGTTGTGATGCCTGTTACAGATTTTAAGCTGAAAAAAAACACATCCCAGATGCAAGAGACATGTGAGTGCTGAGGCAGTTACCCAGCCTCCAAGGGATTTTAATTTGAAGTGCAAATCTACATTTTTGGCTGCAAAAATAAAGGAAGCTGGAGCATCCTCACTCCTTGCATGGATGTTGAAAGAAAACTTCATTATTGTCTCTCTGATCACAGGTATCAAAAGACACAACCAGCAAATACAATCTTGCATTGCGAAATAAAAAAAACTTGCTTTCAGAATAAATAAAATCAACAAAGGAGAAATGCTTAGCATATTGCAAAACTCAAAATGCGCAAAATTCCACTGCGCATAACTCTGCCAATTTTGGACCTAAAAAAATTCACAAGGTCCTAAATTTAAGCTCAAGAATTTTTGGACTTCTCTTTATTCATATTGAAATTGATCCAAGTAATGGATCATGAGATATTTTCACTTGTTCAAGCCAAACTTTTTCTTCAGCAAGAAGATTCTTGGAAACCTTCACCCAAGATTCTTATCTCACTGATGCACAGGCTTCTGGTGGAACCAGTGACTTCAAAAAGCCTATTTCCTAAATGCATGAATGAATTTATTTCTTGAATAGATGCCTTTCTGATGCCTGTTGCTTTTCAAATGACATGAAAAGAAAAAAGAAACATCTTAATATAGCTTCCATGTATACTCAGTCAGGTGCAGCTTTTTTAAATTACTGTATTCACTTGAGTACCACACACCCTTGAGTAAGGCGCGCAGAAGGGTTTTTTAGTTGGAAATTTTGCTAAAATCGTATCCCCAAGTAAGATGCACACCTCAATTTTTAGAGAATCTGAAACCACAAAATTTTGCAAATAAAAACAAAAAATTGACTTTAGGCATGAATTGAACAAAAATTTCATCAATTTTCAACTTTTTCAGTACAAAAATGTTTTCTTGTTACATTTGCTCCAAATTTCTCCATTATAATCAAGTATAACGCACACATAACTTCCTAAAACTTCTTGAAAATTTCGTATCCACTTATGATGCGCACCCCTTTTTTTCTTCTGAAATTTGGGAAAAAAGGTGGGCGTGGTACTTGAGTAAATACAGATGTTTGAGTGTATCAAACCTCGGACATAATTTAATGCACCCTAAAAAAGGCGATCTTCCTGCTGGCTTTCATTTAAGTGAATCCGTCTCTTGTTTCAGGAGTTTTTAACACATATTTCTTATTCAAGAAATGTTCATTGCTTTGCAATAATTACAAAACTTTTTCCAAAACCTTTGTTATTCCTGGCTCAAACCCTGAAATTACGCTTGGAGCTGTTGAAGGAGTTACTTTATCTAGCAAACAAAAATGTCTTCTCTTTCCTCTGTATAGAAGCCAATTCAAAAGATAAATGCGTATGTTTATTAGCAAAAAAAAAAGTTCATCTGCAGAAAGCGCGTCAAAAGAAAAGAAAATCATTCATGGCATTTACTCTGTTGTGGATGACAGAATACACACGTGAACCCTTTCAACAATTCGTGGAAATGAAAACAACAAAAAAACTGTACACTATTCATCCTGATCCTTTCACACAAAAGTATTTTTGACACCCCGATGAGAATTGCCTGCAAATATTCTGGAATCCCCTTAGTTTCCTTCAATAAGCTCATGCTCATCAAACTCAGTTTGTTGGGAATAATCACATAGGAAGCATCATCACAATGATGAAAGCCACTCGCCGAATGTTGTGTTGTTTGCTACTTGTCACGATTGTGCACTTGGCAACTGCTGAATTATCATTCATCAGCCAAAACATGACTGACACATTCGAAGCCGAAGCTTCGCCACTTCCGGGGTACGAAGAAGAGGAAGGAAGTGAGGATTCGAATCTATTGTCATCCGATGCCTCACCATTTTTGGTATGTTATTCAAGAATATTATTTTCTTGAAGCCTTCAATTGTCCATCAGGCTTCCTTCTCAATCGCCGGAAGCTGTGATTTGATTTAAAAAATGGACGAATAATCACACAAATTTTCAGAACACACAAGTAGGAGCCGATGTCAATCTTTAAAGTTATTCAAAATGTAAAATTGACACCAAAAATACAACTTCAGTTCGTCTGGAACCAAAACCCACCAAAAAGCTCTTATGTTCGCAATGATTATTCCTCAATTTTTTCTTCAAACCTAGTATGATTTCTCGTGGCATGAAAAATTCTTATAAATTTTATAATTTCGCACTAAGCATGTAAAATAGGCTGAGAAATACTTTAAAAAAATTGGAATTTTGGTTTTTGTTCTTGTTTACATCATGCGGAAGCATTTGAATGAAACACGGACCCATAATTGAATGACATGAGCTGATTCGAATTTGAAAATTTATTTTTCATGCTTTCAACAAATTCAACCAACTTCTGAACCCGAGAAATCCTTTGGAATTTATTGAGAAGCTAACAAAATGTAAACCTTCGAATCTGGGATGAATTACTGGACACAGGAAGAGAAATCGTTCTCCATTTATAGCTTTTTCAGAAAATTGTACATTCAAGTTACCATTCACAGATTTGAAAAGAACTTCCTATATATCACAGCAGGGGGAGATTATACCAGATCATAATTTTCTACCCCAGCTCTTTGCTCTCAGTTGAGCCTGGAATTCCATAGTGTTTTATGTGTGTCCATTTTGCTGCGACTTAAAATAAGAAAGAAAATATTTTGAATAATTTGACACATTTTTCACCACAGAGACTTGTGAAAAGGTCGCCTCAAAGGAACACCAGATGTGGCAGTAGCTGTTTGTCGGACGCCAATTGCCCAACCAATCGCAGGTGCAAAACCTGTTGCATTTGGCATCGATACAAACGAGGGCCTAGGCCGAGAACTGGTGTTTGCATGACGTACTACCAAGGATGTCAAAGACCGCCTAGTGGATAGGGACGCCATTCTCATTAATTACAAACACGATATGTATCAAAAAATCCATCAGCCATAGTGAGTTCGAGATCCATGTTCCAGTTATTTGTCTTTCAAGATTACAAGGACGGATTTGCATGAGAACACAAATGGGAAGTCATCAGGAATTGCCCCCTGGAAAATTCGGAGCGTAGTGACAATAAAAATGATTTCTGGATCCATGGTCTTTGAAAACTCAAAAATGTTGTGATGTTGTAGAAATGTTGTTACAGATTTTAAGCTGAAAAAAACACATCCCAGATGCAAGAGACATGTGAGTGCTGAGGCAGTTACCCAGCCTCCAAGGGATTTTAATTTAAAGGGAAAATCTACATTTTTGGCTGCAAAAATAAAGGAAACTGGAGCATCCTCACTCCTTGCATGGATGCTGAAAGAAAACTTCATTATTGTCTCTCTGATCACAGGTATCAAAAGACACAACCAGCAAATACAATCTTGCATTGCGAAATAAAAAAAAACTTGCTTTCAGAATAAATAAAATCAGCAAAGGAGAAAATGCTTAGCATATTGCAAAACTCAAAATACGCAAAATTCCACTGCGCATAACTCTGCTGATTTTGGACTTTAAAAAATTCACAAGGTCCTAAATTTAAGATCAAGAATTTTTGGACTTCTCTTTATTCATATTGAAATTGATCCAAGTAATGGATCATGAGATATTTTCACTTGTTCAAGCCAAACTTTTTCTTCAGCAATAAGACTCTTGGAAACCTTCACCCAAGATTCTTATCTCACTGATGCACAGGCTTCTGGTGAAAACAGTGACTTCAAAAAGCCTATTTCCTAAATTCATGAATGAATTTATTTCTTAAATATGTGCCTTTCCAAACCCTGTTGCTTTTCAAATGACATGAAAAGAAAAAAGAAACATCTTAATATAGCTTCCATGTATACTCAGTCAGGTGCAGCTTTTTTAAATTACTGTATTCACTTGAGTACCACACACCCTTGAGTAAGTCTTGAGTAAGGCGCGCAGAAGGGTTTTTTAGTTGGAAATTTTGCTAAAATCGTATCCCCAAGTAAGATGCACACCTCAATTTTTAGAGAATCTGAAACCACAAAATTTTGCAAATAAAAACAAAAAAATTGACTTTAGGCATGAATTGAACAAAAATTTCATCAATTTTCAACTTTTTCAGTACAAAAATGTTTTCTTGTTACATTTGCTCCAAATTTCTCCATTATAATCAAGTATAACACACACATAACTTCCTAAAACTTCTTGAAAATTTTGTATCCACTTATGATGCGCACCCCTTTTTTTCTTCTGAAATTTGGGAAAAAAGGTGGGCGTTGTACTTGAGTAAATACAGATAATTGAGTGTATCAAACCTCGGACATAATTTAATGCACCCTAAAAAAGGCGATCTTCCTGCTGGCTTTCATTTAAGTGAATCCGTCTCTTGTTTCACGAGTTTTTAACACATATTTCTTATTCAAGAAATGTTCATTGCTTTGCAATAATTACAAAACTTTTTCCAAAACCTTTGTTATTCCTGGCTCAAACCCTGAAATTACGCTTGGAGCTGTTGAAGGAGTATATCGTCTACTTCAAAGCAAACCTACAGCATACGTAGTGCTGGGAAAGGATGGTTTATTCCAGCTAAGGGCTTTGATGTTTCCGGTGAAGCTAATGAGAGCATAAGTTGTTGAGATTACGGAAGACACAAGATATTTGCAAGAAACGTGAAGGCACCTTTGACACATGATTGAATACTTCATCAACAATCCAAAGGATGTTGTCACAGTTATGACATTTAGTACGTTGTGCAAAGAATAAATAAAATGGGCTCATCTTTTTTAACCTTTTACGGCTCAACCTGGTGCTAGTTGCAAGTAACTGAGGCAGACTAAAAAGACGTGAGTAGCTAACTCAAATCGAATGAATTTGCATGTGGAAAAGGTCAGAACAAAGTTTCCAGTCATCAAGAGTCATAGGTTTTCGTCAAAGAATGCGGTGCATAAAATCTCGAAAGCATTTTTTTCGTCTGCCCGTCTTTGTTCCGCCACAAAAGATAATCTATTTCTACACAAGATTTTACTTTTAAAAAAATATTTGGCATATTGCAGAGGACTACGAAGGAAAGAAAAAAAATCAGCAATTATGATTTCGGGGAAAATATTTCTCTGTTTCATTGTGATTGGAAATTTAGTCCACGGATCCCAAAACTCAATGCCCAACCTGTCCTTCGAAAATGACACGAACAACAGAATATGGAAAAACTTCGGACAAATTTCGGACAATGAGATTTCGAAGCAAGATTTTGTGCACACAAAGGAAATCAACTCTACCCTGGTAAGATCTATTTTTTACGCATCAAAAAGGGTGAAAAATGTTTTTAAATCCTACTTTTTTTGGGTGAATAGTTTTTTCAAGGAATGATTTGGATCGACCTTATCTCTAATTTGAAAGCAGCAGAAATGCATTGAACCTGACACTGTAAAAATGAAGAAAGTCAGCAATTATTTGATTAAATTATTGCTCACACAAAACTTTATAAAATCCATATATGAAAATTATGTCATTCTTTCTTGGGGGGATAAGTGCTCAAACAAGAAAACCAAAAACACACAAGTGACATCTTGAAAACTAGCTCAACTGAACTTGAGTTACCATGAGGTTAAAAACCAACAGAAATCCTATCAAAATTATTGGCAAGTGGCATTATATAAAACAGCTGAGTGACAAACAAAAGCACTGTGATGGAACTTCTTGTGGCATGCCAAAAGATTTTTTTTCCTTCAACGTGTGCCAATTCTGATGGCTGAGAATCATTGTCCCTTTATTGGGACTCTCACAAGGTCTGCTCAACACAAAAACCAAGACTTGATTGATTTATCTGTTCTTCAGTGGTAACCAGGAAAACTAATTCAATAGAAAGATGAATGCAAAAGGATCCTTGGTGTTCAAGAATTTCCCAAAGATAGCTGTCAAAAATTTAGTTGAGGGGTGTTTAGAAATACGAGATTTGCTGGAATTGGCAAAAGACCAATAATCCAGAAGGAATCTCGTGGGACGAGGAATGACCTCGAGTTCCCACGATCTTCCTCCCAAAAAGCGTCCTCCAAATTTGCTACGCTAAAAAGACCTTGTGATCCAAGGATATCCCTTGAACAATCCGAAGGATTATTTTCCAGAAAAAAACAGTATACTGTATAAGCAATGAGATTTTCTACCAAAAAACACAGTCCAGTTCAGACCTTGCGAGTGTCCGACAAATCTTTGCGTTTACGAAAACTTTTTGATCGATTCAATATCCATACTCTTTGAAGTCTAACTTTGTTTGCATCCATTTGAAAATATACCATTTCATACTAGGACGTTGGTCCCGGCCGCAGCCCGGCTGATTATCTGGTTTCATTTATAATCTTTTCTTGATCAATCTTCTTTGAAATTACTTTGATCCCTTCTTTCAATCGGAAGGAAAAGCATTTTCTTTCCTTGTCCAAAAGTAGTTTTAATTTCTCTTTCTGACAATAGCTTTGAAGGACAATACATTGCGGGAACTTGAGGTAAACTCTAGTCCCACAAGATTCCTTCAAGGATTAGCTGGTTTTGCTTATCCTTGCAAATCTGTTGTTTCTAAACACCCCTTACTTTTATTTTTGACAACCTGCCTGGGCAATTTTTATTTATTTTTGTGCTAATATTTCTGATGTTTACAAAGTGTCTCACAATTTGACCACTTTTAAATTTTACGCTAGTCTAGCAATGGATTAGAGTTGATTTGTAAGGTATTCCCTGTATTAAATATTTGAAATAAATTTGATTGCATGATGACGTGGTGGCCAAAGGATTCAACCAGAAACAGAAGGGCAAAACAAATTGCAGGACTCATGTGCAACAAGGGATGCTCCACCAATGCTGACTGCTGGCTGGGAAGCTGCAGTTTCTGCGCTTACAAATCCAGATGTCTGGAGCCAAATTATTACTGCAGATTGCCTTGCCGCTTCAATACTGATTGTGGATTGGGAGGATCATGTCCGTATTGCGTATTTGGCTATTGTACATACTAAAGAAGGGACAAAATGAAGTTGGGACTCTGCAAGCCAAAATTCAAGGGGCCAGTGAGGAAAATTTAGATGTAGAGAGATTTTGAGTTGGCGAGGTTAGGAAAACTAGGTCTGAAAATGCTTCCTGTAAATTTTCAAAGAAGTGATTGGGGCTTGAATGTTAGCTGAAGTTGTGTGTAATCTCTTCAAAATCCTCTCCTTAATTATTCTCACCATATAAAAAAGACAAATCGCCAGAAAATTCAGTGTAAATGAGCCAACAGGATGCAGAACCTCAATTAAGTCATGATTTTTATGGACCAATTAAAGTTGCCCATTTCCCTTTCCAAAATTTCCATCCGAATTTCCTGTCCTTCCTCGTCTTGAAAAAATTCGAATTAGGGATATTTCCAGATGGTTTTGAGCATAGGAGGTTCAAGTTACTTTGTTTTAAGGGGATTTTGCACAGCAGGGACTAGAAAAAATTTGAGTGAAAGCGGTTCGAATTTATTTGCGCATGAAAAGATTCAAGAAAAACGCGTTCATTGTCAAAACAAAAACAACGTGTAATTCCACTGCGGATCCCATGTGTGAAAAATAAAAATACTTTTTGTCATGGATTCTCATCTGCGATAGGACAAAGTGAAACTGAGACGAAATGACTTCGAATCCTAGAAGTGATAAATCAACAATATTTTCCCGCTGTTTATTTTTGAATGACCCCAAGAAGTCCAGTGTAAAGTACTGTATTCAGAAATAAAAAATGGAAATTTTGACCTACATTCAGAACAGAGAATATCCTTATGTAATCATGACTGAGGAATATAGGACTCCCTTGCATTTTTTACAAATTCACCTTGACATGGAATTACATTGACAAAAAATTATAATTAAAAAAAATAAAAGGGAACTACTTGACAGCAAATAATTTCAACCATGACATGCTTCACAATCGGTAGCATCTTGCTTTTCCTGATTTTTCTTTGAAATTTTAATAATGAATGCATTGACGCAATTAAATTTTTTCTGTGGAGCAAAAAATAACTGTATATTATGCATGAACGTCCATCTAGAGCTAGAAAGTTTTTTGTACTGTATTTAGATCTGCTTTCCAGATTTCCATGAAACTGAACTCACTCGCCAGATAGATTTCAGATGATCAATCATGAAAATGTACCTTGAAATCGAGGATTGTTGCATCATAAAGACAATTTTGAAAATGCGAAACGATGAAAGCCCATGCTATGTCCCAAATTCAAAATGAAATCGATATAATCATCGGATTTAAGTAAAACTAAAAAAAAAAAGTCAAGTGGAAGCTACCAAGACCCAGCAAAGAATTGGGGCATCCCTTGGCCCATCTGGGATGCAACGGCTATGGGAGCCCTTCCTCCATCCTGTGGGATGGTCTTACAGGAGGAATCCGGCTAGCCCTGGCAGCCATCCCTCGGATGGAGGGGCAGGATGGGTCCTCCATGCGCGCCCCCCTCCTC